AAAGTATCAAGGAAACTGGAATATTGCAGAAACCCTGAAAAAAATATGAATACACTCAGAGAGGGGATGGCAGAGCTAAACAAACTGAAAGATATTGTAGAGCAAAGAAAGCTGAAAATAAAGCGTGGAAAAATTATCAAGGAAGAAGTGAAGCACTGGCTTTCACGTGTAAATATCATCAATGAAGGTCTGCAGGATGTTGAAAAATCGTGTTCAGCTGGTTCGCGTTGTCCTCTGGCAAAAGCTTCGCTCGGAAAAACTATTCTTGGGAAAATTGGTGAAGTTGAGAAACTAATTCGTGAACATGGAAGCTTCTCTGGTGATATTGTGATTGATGGACCTTCAACCTCAGGAGCAAAAAAGAAACTGAAACACGCGTTGGACAGGCTAAACAGGCTAAACAGTCAAAAAGAAAAAGTAGAAACACAGAAAAGCAGGCATGAAAATGCTGGAGAAGTGGTGAGGGAAGAAGTGAATGACTGGCTTATAGAGGTAAGATCCATCAATAAAGTATTTCAAATTCTTAAAGGCGCTTCTCGTCGGGTTTCACGATGCAACAAGCTCGAAGTTAATGAAATTGTTCTAAAGAAAAGTGACGCAGTTAATATTCTTCTTCAACGAGGAACCTTCCCTGACGGATTGTGATTGATAACCGGAGGAAGCCAAAGAGAGGTTAGGGACATGTGTTTTCTATTGGCTACATGCTGCTATACCTGTTTGTTACTATATCATGTGTTGCATCATTAGATTTGGTAGCTACGACTTATTTTATGTTTTAGTTTCAAGTGCTATGTAACTGATATATATATATACATGTTTATAATATAAGTAACTATATGAACCTCTTACTATGAGTTAAAAAATGAGAGATGATTGTCTCTATTATAGAATATAAGATTATATATATATATATTTTATATTAATAATCTATATATATATAGTAAGAGAGAATATAATGAAAGAAAATCTTGTCCAATCATTTTATTAAGTCTTTCCTAATATACTCTTTTATTATTATGTATCAATACTTTCCTTATTTAGTGAAACTACCCTTTTTGGTACATCTACCCTTTTGCTTTACATTTTTTTCCTATTCATTAATTTTAGCCTAACATTTTTTACCATCCTTTATTAAATTTAATTCACCTTCCACTTTTCTTTTATCCACATTCTTTTTGGCATGCACTCTTCTCTTTCGTTTTCATTTTTCCCCCTCAAATAACTAATACAACTTTAATTATAATTTTTTATTGAAAAGATATACTTACTAATCTATGATGATTTTAATTTTTTTTTTTAAATTTCACTATAGTATGTCTATCGGATTTTTTTTTATTATTTAGTAAAAATTTAATTTTAAATCTTATATAAATGAAGATGTTTTAACAAAATACATTATAAGTGTGTTAGGAATTTTTATAATGTCTATAATACTCTTTTATGATATAATAGTTATAATATTAAATTTGAATCAATTAATATTAATTAAATAAATCACTATAAAATTAAAAAATGACAACAAAACTCTCTCTTTATTTTTCTCATTACATTGTCTATCTATATTATAAAAGAGGAACTAATAAGGAAAAGTGTAATACCTCAAATTTTCAGCAGTTATGTTAAATAATTAATTAATTAATTTAGGTAGAGATAATTAATCAAAAGGAAATTTTTGAGGATTAAGTTGCATAACTCTTCAAATTTGGGGAAGTCAGTTAAAAAAAAAAAAAAGAGAGGAGAGAGAGGGACGAACAGAATAAACATGGGAAACCTAATTCCCTTTTCGGGGGGGCTTTCCTCTTCTCTCCCATTCTAAACCCAAAAACTTTGAAGCCGTCGACCTCCTAGTCTCATATTCTAATTTATTTTTTTCTATCTGTTCTGCTGTGTGGGTGTTCCTGCTACAATTTCTCTGCTCTTCCTCTGTTTATTGTAGTCACTAGATTTGAACTCATCAACAGAAGAATTCTGGTATATTAACAGCCCTTAAATTTAAATTCTAGACCTCTTAATTGTTGTTGGGTTGTTTATTGTTGGTTAGTGAAACATGTAATCAATGGTTAGAAATTTGGTGTCACTAAGGGCTGTTTTATTTCACTTTTGCGTACAGCCATTTCATCTGATTTTCCTGCACTTTATGAGCACTGTTAGTTGCTGTTTTAGTGTTCTCATCTCGCCCTGTTCTTGCTCATGAATTGAGCTTAGCTTGCCTCATTTTGTAATAAAGTTTCTTTCACGAAATCTTTGTTAGGTTCTTGAGTAGCCTTGGCATATTAGCTCTGGAATTTTGATTGCTAAGACCTGATGAAATTCTGGTTTTTGTCATGCAAATCTTGGTCTTGGTCTCGTCTTTAAAGTGGCGAGTTTGGGACTGATAAAAATTCAAGAGTCATGGGTCTGAACTTCCAAACCCTGCTGTGTTATGTGTTTTATTTAACATGTTATACTAATTTTGCTATAAAAATTTGGTTACAAGTTGTCCATACCGTTGCTTTGTTTATACCTTGTTGAGCCTTGACTTCTCTAACTGTTTTCATACCAGAAAGTATGTGTTTCTGTAGTTTAATTTTGCACTGCTGACTGCTCATGCCAATCGCACACTTAGAATTATGCACAACACAACCTTAAGTAGCCCTGAATTTCACTTGTAAGTAACAACTGTTCTAAACTTGATTTCCAATATATTTAGTTGCTGTTTTTATTGGATTGAAAAGCTATTGAGGGGATATGAAGCCAAAAGAATTAGCTCTGATGTGTCTAGGTCGTTACACTTGGGTAATCCAAATAAAAGAAAGAAAAATGTTTGATTTCGATCCAGAATGACAGCTTGACCTTGTGACAGTAATCAGGCCATTACTTCCTCTGTAGATACTAGATTGAGATAATTCTTGATCTTATAGAAAGTTAAGACATAAGGTTATAGTTGATCTGTTAAGTGTTAACCATTCAGCCCAGTTTGGTTGATTTCTGGGTGCAAATTCAGTTGAAAGTTTCGGTTTAGCATCTGACCAGAACTTGTCTGAAGTTCTTGCTGATTTGGTGTCCAATTTTGCAGACCTTGGCTTTATGATTTGTCTTTACTTTATGGTTCTTAAACCTTTTGATATCCAAATTCTTGTTTCTTGAGGAATTTTAATTCTCTACAAGTGAGTTAAGTAAATTTTTGGTTTTGCCAATGGTTCTAAACTAAGGTTTTAAAAGCAGATTTTTAAATGGTTTTGAGAGGTGGTGGCAGGACCTAACTTAATTTATGTTGATATGGGCATGGTATGCTTTGATATTAAGTTTTATAATTGTTATTTATTGAAGTTTGAGCATGCCTTTTTCATGAGATATACCTGTTAAAACAATTAGGATTATGTTTCCACTTTCTTGTATAAATGCCTGAAACAATTTGAATTATGTTCTTTGTTTAGATGCCTACATTGTTTTGTCTCCGATTTTGTCATTGTTCCCATTATCTGTAATTCTTGTTATCCTGTCAATGGGAGTATAAACACTGGTAATTCTTGTTATCTTGTCAGTGGGAGTGTAAACACTAACAATTCCTATTATCCTATTAGTAAGAGTGTAAACGCCAGTCATTACTAAATGAGGAGACCACTAAGAGATTTTTTTTATTATGCATTATAGGATTGAAATAAGAAGCATTGTTTTGATGTTCCATATCCATCATGCTTTCTTTTAAATTAAAGTGTGGCTACACATAATAAGATTTATCTCACATTTTTTTTCTTATTCACCATTTCAGATAACAGGACTTGAGCCTTGTACGCTTGTGTTGGTTGGGATCAAGGCGAGTTACATGCTGCTTGACTATTAAATTGGTTTTGAGCCTTGTATGCTTGTGTTGGATCCTCTCATAGTAGTATGACATTTGTTTCGCTTGAGTTTTTGGGATCAAGGCGAGTTACATGCTGGTTGACTATTAAATTGGTTTTGAGCTTTGTACCCTTGTGTGGGATCCTCTCCTAGTAGTATGACATTTGTTTCGCTCATAATTTTGAGACGTGACAAAAAAGTTTGTCACGTGTTACATTTATATGTCTTCTCTAATTTACTTTTTCGGCATTCTTTTTGTCACATGTCACATTTATAAGTCTTCTTTAATTTACTTTTTTGGCATTTGACTTGACTTTCTTTGTTTTTTTAATTGTAATTATTAGCATTACTAGAGTTAAAAAAAAAAGTCAAAAATATCATATTATTTAATGAGTTATTTTACCACCAATTAATATATCTCAACTATATATTTAAATTGTATGGTAGCTATAGTAGCTGCCCATTTTTTTTCCAAGAACGCTTGGAACGTTTTTTTTCCCTTTTCCGCCAATTCTCAGAACATTTCCATTTTCTTTTTTTAGGTAATTAATAACTAATAATAATTAATACAATAATATTTAAATTTAAATAGTGATTATATGGTATTTGTAAAATTAAAGAAAGTGTGAAGCTTTATTTTTTTTCAACAATATTAGAACTACTCGTGGGGAGAGGTATAAAAAAATAATAATGTCAGTATAAATATTTTGAACTTAAATGTATACAATACAAAACTGAGTATAAAAAAGTCTTCTTTTATTCATCTTATTGGGTGATGTTATTGTCATGCTCTAAATTACTAATGTCACGCACTTTCATTTTAATTGGTTATTATATTTTTTAATTTATTAAGAAATAAAAAAATGTAAAATTTTGATAAAATAATATAATATAAAGGTAAAATAAAAAATTACATTAAAATAATGTAATATTAACTATTTAAGGTGTGACAATAACTCCATCTCATTTATGTTATATCTATGTTATATCTTTTAAATTTCATTAATACCATTTTCTACAATTTGAATAGTGATTATATGATATTTGTGAAATTAAAGAAAGTGTGAAG